AAATATCGTTTCACTGTCGAATTGAAGGAACAGGAGAACGATCGTCTTGATCGTCCGGATAGAAGCTCAGCTTCTTCGATCCAACAGATCTTCGAATCACGTTCTTCTTAGGTTTTCTTAAATCTCGCCGCGAACTTGCCGAAGAAGAGGCCAGCTTGTCTCGCGGACGGTGGAATTTCAAGGTGACGTCAAGGCTGAGGTCGTTTCGTTCCAGATGCGTACGCGTGTTCATGACTTCGGTCTTTGAACAGAAGTAAGACGCATGGTTGCACGGTAGCAGTGTGCGCTATCTGTGTGCATTTATCATGCGGACAGTTACATACCGGTCCCTGGTTCCTCTCCTCTCTGTCGCGGCATTAATGAGACGGCCAGACATTAAGGGAAATGGTCAGAAAAAGAGGACGAAATCTGTAGGGGAAAAGGCGGCAGTCGTCTCGTTTCCTTCGAGGGTGAAGTTCAAGCCTCTTCGGCGAGAGGAGGATACCATCTGAAGCCGTCCGAATCGGTCATCGTAGATAAAACGTACGATAGACGAAACATCGTCGAATAATGTCGCTTAATACGCTCTCCTTTCCTGAGGAGCGATCTGTCTTCTTTCTTCTGAACGATGCTGTTCCGAGTGTCGCAGATAAATATAGCGTCGATCCGGACCATGGGGGAGAAACGTTTAAACAGATGCGTATGGACACACGGAGCAGTGTCTTCGCGATTTATCCGACGATTTAGAGGGAAGATAATGTTCCGTGTTTCCTGCGGGTTAACTTTTTATTGTTCCTACTTACCGCGAGATAGATAGACGTATTCGTCGTGGCCGTGTCGTTTGTATTTTCGAAGAGTGGATGTCGTTGATAAATAGACTGGAATGAATCGGAATTTTTAACATTCCTCGTGGTATTTTGCGCCCTTGGATTACTTTGTAGCGAAACGTCGATAAAGATTCTTCTTCACGGGAAAAATTTGCCGACGATTGAAACGATAGATTGTTGAAGAATTTACACATTGGTTTCAATTTATTTAGAAAAAGAAATTAAATTCCATTTCTTGAAAAAAAAATTACTTTTCTTGGAATTTAGTCTCATTTTAATAAAAAAAAATAATAATAATAATATTTCGATGTACTTTTTTTTTCATTGAGTTTAAAACCAAGTTCAAGGTACAAAACAATATTATTTAATCGATAACAATTAAGGTACAAAACGCTGTTAAAAAGTCAGCTACAGTTTTTAATTTTATGCTATTTTGATCTAATTACAATTTCTCTTGATTAAA